TATATATATATATATATATATATATATATAAACGAACTACATCAGCACGTAACATTATATTCTTGCAGGTCGTCTGAATACGAACGAAGACAGTGAGAACATGTTAGGATATGATTTGTACAGTAGTACCCTTTAGAATAATCCTATATATATATAAACGAACTACATCAGCATGTAACATTATATTCTTGCAGGTCGTCTGAATACGAACGAAGACAGTGAGAACATGTTAGGATATGATTTGTACAGTAGTGCCCTTGCTGATATTTTGAGCGAGCCATCACTTTCAATGCCAATTTCTGTGGGGCTGTATGCAAGGTGGGGAAGTGGCAAGTCGTTTCTTCTGGATAAATTGGAAGGTAAATATTCTTTTTAAGCACAGTGTGCAAACTGTGCTGTGCCAACCGTGAGTACTGAAACCCAGTTTTTAGTATTTGGTTAAAAAAAAGGTATTGGAGTTGTATCATGGGTTATTAGCTAAATAACTAATGTTAAAGTTGTATTTTAGCTCATGGTAATAAAAAAATGACGTTAAATTGGTGCTTATTATTTAAATAAGCGATTGTTGAAGACGTTTTATTGGTCAGATTAATAACTGCTATAGACCTTCTGTTATTGGCTAGTGAAACAAGAAGTGAATATGATTTATTAGTGAAGTGCTGGAGTATTATTTACTATTTTTATATACACAAAATGTGGCAAGCTTTTAGTAAAACAAACAAGTCTGCTGTGCACAAAAACAATCATGAGTGTTATGAAAATATTTGTACATAAGATATGTCTGTGAATTGACGACATCAGTCTGACAAGTCATAGGACAAGGTGAAGAATAAAGATATCATTGTGTAGGTTTCATATTGTATGTGCGTAACTTCTAGAACCTCTGAAATGTATATCTACAGTTTCGTTTCAGTATCCCTTTATGTTGTGTCTGGTATTTACTCTCATCTACCAGGAAGTGTTCTGAAATCGGCAATGTAAGGTAAAATGAATAGCCGATAACTCTTAACATCAGATACATAATAACATGTTGAATGGCACTCTGTAAAATATCATGTCATGTTCACTCTGACCCCCACCTGTGCACAGAGGGTTAGCTGTAAAGGTATTGAAATTTGTTTCAGTTAACATATGTGTACTATTGTCATTGTCTAGCATCTGTATGTTAAAATTTAAAGACACTATACATTTTTTTTTGTTTACTTTGAGTATGGAAATGTTTAAGTATTTTTGTAAAAAAATAAAATATATATACATGTAAAATGTGTTGATCTTGTTTTTTAGATGAGATGCGTAGTTTTTGTGTACAATGGTTGGAATCTGTTTATGAGTTTTCCTGGTTGGTATTTCTGGTTGTAATCTTTATTGCTACCACCATGGGACTGATTACCATGCTGACCACTAGCTTGTGGTCAGTGGGACTGTCTGTGGGAGCTGGTATATGTGTTAGCAGCTATATAGTGTTAGGTAAGTACACAAATTTTTTAACTGATGTCTTGTTTTAAGGCACAAGTTTCAAATCTCTTTGTATTATGTTCAGGTCAAAGGTCAAGAATTTAGTATTGGTTTAGTTATTATCAAGTTATTAGATATTATGTTAATATTGTGATGTGAGAACAAAATTTTTATTTCTTGAGTTTATCAATACCTCAAATGTTTGTATCAGGCCATGAGTGAAGTTTTTTATGTGCTTAGAGTTTTAGATCAGAAAATAACCTTTCTTTAATTCTTTCCAGATGTGTCACGGGTGAAAGGCCATGTAATCACGTTTGTTGACTCGCATTCAAAATTTTATTGAACTACTATTTCATGAATTTATAGATTATAATTCAGGTTTTAGTATTATACCTTACTCAATTTCTTAATTTAAAAGTAAATATTAAAAAAGCACAGATAAAAATCGATTTTTGTGTGTCACGTGGTATATTGAATGCAACACTAGTTCAAATTAGATGTTTGTGAAGTCAAAATACTAAGTCTATAGTTTCGTATGAATTAGGAACTAAAATTACCGATATTGATAAGCTGGAATATAAAATAAGAGCCTCTTATCTTTTCAACTTGCTAAAATATTGCTCATGTAATAAATCAAACACTGTGGCACCCCACCCACCTCTTTCCATTTTTGTAAATGCTCCCTTATATACACTTACTTCTATATGTGACATGAATAACCAATCGTAAGCTCCGAATGTCCCCCTAGTGGCTTTCTCTGCCATTTTAATGGATTTGGATGCCATTCCTTTCTTTCGAACCAAGATTTCAATGAGGTAGGTTGTGTCTTTAGTCTGCTCAGAATTTCACATTTTTTTAGACTGAAATACAGCTTAGTTCCTGAGCTTGATAAATTATAGTAGAATTCTATGGTATTGATATAGTAATTTATGATTTTTGGTTATTCAACTTTATATATAAAACCTAAAAAAATATTTCGTTTCATATCCTCCATGTGCAAAATTTTAAAAGGCTTAGCAACCTACGTCAAGCAGCAACCGATTACAAAGGTTATAACAAGAAGAGATAATTGTTTGCTTTACTTCTTTATTTACTGTTCTATGTTTTAAGAAAAATAGGTTTAAGAACTTATTTTAAACAGCAACAATCTATATACATATTTAATGTATAATAATTGAAATATGACTGTATTTTACAAAATACTAGTCTACTAAAACACACACCCAAGACAGGTCACTTTGTAAAGACCAAAGGTCAGTTTCATATTGTTGGATACTGTAACATGAGTGCATGTGTGCTGCATCATTGTAACTTCTGTATTGTTAGGCTGGCATGGCTGAAAGGTCAATATAATAAAAATAATAGATATATAATGTTATGAGATTTAAGCTATTTAGTCAAAACATTTATGTTTATAATTTGTAGTCATTCTAGAATGAAAAAGGCAAAGTTTATATTTATTTCTTAATTTTTTTAAAGTGGTTACGAGATTGGTCAAATTGACCAGTGATTCGTTATTGAAAATAGGAAACATTTGATAAGTATCTGGACATTATGTAGATTTTGCATGTGAAATTTGAAAATTTTCTGATTCACAAAAGTATTTTTAATCTTAAAATGAAGATTCCATTGCATGTTGGATAGGCAAGATGCGAAAAGAAAAAAAAAACACGCATGATAAAACATTGCTTTACAAACCTTAACACTTAAAAATTTAATATTTTGTGTATGAAAGCATAGTAATTTTTACTGATAATCATTTCATTAACATATACTTACTAATTTAAAAGTTACAGCATGAAAACTATAACTAGCACAAAATGGTTATGAGGTCAGTCTCTCCTGAAAGAGTTAATACATTCTTGATGAGAAGTTTAAGGTTTTGTCCTACAGCCAGATCAGTTGTCAAATACTTAGTTATTCTGTCAAAGAATCAAAATTCAGTTTTAAACTTTTGCTTTAATTTGTTTGTTTAATGTAAGGTGTAAATATATATGGAGACCAGAAGTGTATTTTAAAATGATTTAAAACTCAGGTCAGTTGTTGAAAATACAGATAAGCCAGGTTAATTCAAGTAATGTAATTGCTTGAATTGAATAATCGTTAAAAAAATTGTTGTTTTTTCACTAAGAACATATTGAAGTCAAAATTTATGAAAGTTTTGAAACTCTGAATCATTATTAGAATCTTGTTATTTTACTAAAACAGAAAATAAGGAAAAAATATTGTACAAATGACACTAAACATACACTTTTAAGCTTATTCAACTTTTATCATGATTTAAGAGTGTTAATGTTTTTTGTGTTAAGCCATTTTTATCATTCATTCATTCATGTTTGCGAGATCCAATTTTTTCTAACTGAACTCGTTGAGATTTCCAACAAACATTTACTGAAAAATACTCTCTGTTCTTTCAATCTCGGTTTTCACTTCACAGAAACTTAAAGTTATAGTAAATATGTTACTGACCATTTTTAAGAATAGAAAGTTAACACTAGAGTGTGTTGTTTAAACACTTTTCCACACACATTTCTTTCAATTCCTTGAACCAGAAGGAATGTTGACATTAACTAGTGAATTCAAGATGATATGTATCTGATATGGTTCAGTGTGATGATTAAGCTTATCATATGTTTTCGTAGTTAAATTTGGATGTTTTTACAATTTCTGTATACTTGGAATGTTTTGTGCTTAACATAGGAATTCATTCAAGAGAACCATTAAATTCCTCTCATCCTTGTTAGTCATGAGATGAGACTGAATTAATTACCAAGGGCATCACCTCTTCTCCCTATTAGAAAGGATTACTGTAGTATGAGACAGGATCTTTTCTACTGGCAAGTCAGGTGAGGTCATACGGGTACCATATCCCTTGTTTAAGAGAGTGCATGGCCCTCAGTCAGGTGGCGCCACACAGATACTATACCCTTTGTTTGTGAGAATGAGATGCTGTGGAAAAATTGGGAATTGTAGTTCTTTGTATATAATGCCATGTTCTCTCAGTCTGAGATGGCTATATTCAGATTTAGAGATAGCATCATCATTTGTACATTCATTCATGCAAAATAAAGATTTTCCTTAACGCATACTCCAGTGCTAGACACAATTGCCTTTTAAGATGTTTTGATTTTGGTTTCATTTGCAAGAATAAAGATTGTTATGGTGTGTATGCCTTTTACAAGCTGGCAAAGAATAATTACAATTATACTATGTCATCAGTAATGAATAGGCCCGGCATTGCCAGGTGGTTAGGACGCTCGACTCGCAATCTGAGGGTCGCGGGTTCGATTTCCTGTCACACCAAACATTCTCGCCCTTTCAGCCATGGGGGCATTATAATGTGACGGTCAATCCACTATTTGTTAAAAAAAGAGTAGCCCAAGAGTTGGTGATAGGTGGGGATGACAAGCTGCCTTCCCTCTAGTCTTACACTGCTAAATTAGGACTGGCTAATGCAGATAGCTCTCGTGTAGCTTTGTGCGAAATTCAAAACAAGCAAATAAACAGTAATGGATATGAGAAATATAGTGTGGTTGGAATACTGTTATTATACATTCTAATTCTTGAAAATTATGAGAGACTAAATAAAGAATGTAGTGTTTAAAAATGTAATAGGCAGTTTGCCCCTAAAGAAGAAATATTCACCTTTCGAAAGTACTCAGGTTAGAGTGTATCATATTTTTGTATTAAATTGATTTCTTGAACCTATGTGTTTTTCTAACATCATGAATAGACCTAATACTAATGTCTTATGACAAGTATAAAAACAAAGATTGTTTCACTATGCTTAAACCTCTGAACAGTCTTTCTTTGTTTCACACTCAGTCATGAGATCTTGCTTCATAATACCATAATCAGAAATGCTACTCACCTTACCACAGAACAGATAGCTATTACCTTGTGCCACTGCCCAAAACTATTTTCTACATATGCTAATCCTTGAAGGAAATTCTTACTCCTACACATATTATAGCTTATAGCTCTCCACCAGTAGGAAGGTGATATATCTGTCATGCACAGTAAGCCCCATGTGTACTCGAGCCTTAACAAAGGCTATCTGTCCACACTTACCTTATTTCAGAAGCTCTACATTGACAGATTCACTGGTGGAAAATTGCACCTGTTTCTTCTCCACCTCGGCCTCAACTTTATAAACTCTCCACAGTCACAGTTGATCAGGATGCTTCAGTTTTATATCAGGTACCTCTTTGTGATAATGGTTTATGGAGCATTTCTTATCTGTTGAGGCAGCTTGTTGACAGTAACCTCTGCTTACTTTTGTTTTCCGTTTTTCTTGTGCAAGGGGACCCTCCAGGTTGCCCCTTCTTCAGCTTTTCATCCATTTGATATTTTCTGATGTTCCCTCTCTCTCTCTCTCTGAGAGCTGGGCATCATGGATCATAGAGGTTGTTTGCTTCTGTAACTCAGTTTTGGTCCAGTGAAAGTACTGCTCTCCCACTTTTTGCACCTGTCACCTATCACTTTGTCATTCCAATGAAGAAAGGGGATTGGCAACTTATCATTGTTCTCTTTTTCTCAAACCATCTTTCTTGTCATCCTTTGATTCAAGATGAACAGTTTCTCGTTCTGATGTGGGTGTTCTTTCCAGGGCTGTGTATGACCAAGGTCTGTTACAGATGCATTTTTTCATATTCTGACTTGTTCTACTGCCTGTTGCTTTCTCCGATTCATACATAATGATTGGATTTTTCAGTTCAATGCAGTACAATGCTGAAGTCTAGGGTTCACATTCCCAAGGCAGACAGAATGCAGATGGCCTATTGTGTAGCTTTGCACTAAAACAAACAGTCACATGATAACTTATCTTATATTACTGTAGGTCATTGTATTTTAAAGGAGATATTTTCATCTTGTTTGTAGGGTGGGTTTGGCCTTCTCCTTCATGTCTTTGAGATAGGTAACTTCAGGTTCCCCAAAGCTCTCATGTCTCCTTCTCTTCCTGTGCAATAAATTCTGTCTTTTGTGGGTATTCAACATGTCTTGAGTCCCTTGTTATTTTCATACATGTCCTCTTCAGTGGAGTATGACTGATCACTGGAGCATGTCTAGAGATCCATTATTTTTTCTTGCATCTCACCTTCCATCTTTTCATTTATGATCATCTTGGTGGCTCGGTCAGTCTCATATGATTTTGGGCATCTCTCTTCCACCAACTATCCCAAACATACATCTGTTCACAAATAGCTCTTTGTCTGGGTGGTCTGGACTTTTTCCACTTTTTTGGTCACCAGTTTTAAACTTTGTATTTCTGACTGTGGATAACCTAAGTTATGATTGGTCATGTTTCTTTCTATTTGTTTGTCAAGGACCTTCTGCCTCTTCCTTCATTATTCCTGTTTTCTCTCTTTAGCTGTTACAGACCTCTTCTGAGCCCTTTTCATCAGTTGTCTTCCTTGTATGATTCCTTTTTCAATCTGGAACCATTTTTTAGATCTCAGGGCTATTGTTTATCCATCATTCAAACCTTTGTCTGCCTGTTCCTTGTACCATCTTTCTCTAAAGACATACATTCTTTTCATTTTCCCTTGTAGGATATGCCCTTATGATATTTTGTGTTGGATGCTTCTTCTATTGTTTTTAATCCCAGACCACTGCTTCTTCCCCAAGATTTGGACTGCCTGGGAGGGTGATTTGATGTTTTCTCCAACAATTCTCCTGTCCCTTTCTTCTTCATATAGGCACTTTGACCCTGATTATCTCCTTTGTCCTTTGTTATCCTGCCTGTACTGCCCCCTTTTGAGGCAATCAAAATCATCTTTTCTTCTTATGGGATTTCTCATCCTCTTGTTTATTCTTCCATAGCAGATGATGCCTTTAGATTTCACTTCCTATGTTGTTCATTATCTCATAATTTCTCGTGTATCTTGCCACTGATGTCCACTGGATGAGATCTTGCAGGTGAGAATGTGGATAACCTCCAACACGTTTGTGTTCCATTATTTACACCCCGATCTCCTTCCAGTTGTCATTCTCCAATCTTTCCAGAGGCTCCAAGGAGGTGAGTTGTTAGGTATTTCTTTTTTTAAAAACAGCTCCCTTATCACCATTGTTATATCTCTATGGATATATACTGTAGACAATGGAATCCATAATGTGGCCAGTGAATACTTTTCTTCTATAAATTCTGTTCAAGTGGGGGATAGCAGAAAGTGTTAAGGCCACCTGCTACAGCTCAGTGCCCTTACTTACTTGAAAATTTATTTCACATAGATTTTCACCTCTCCATAAAACCTCCTACCTTTCGTCCCAACTTTTGATTGTTATCTTTTGCCTCACCAAGAACGAGCCTTTGTTGAAACACTAGTGCTCAAGGCAGTGGTGCAAGGTAATAGATATCTGGTCTGTGGACAGGTGAATATCTATCTGAAACACACTTTCAGGTAAGGAAAGTGTTAACTTTGTTGATCCTCCTGTTAATATCACACCAGCAGTTAAAGTGTATTCAAATTAATTCTTGTGATTTCTGGATGTACACAAGAAAATTAAGGACTTATTTAACAGCAGTTTTCTTATAAGGTAAATTAAATTTCTAATTACTAACTTGTTTTTACACTGTTCTTTACTGATGGAATTCACATATTTAGTACTTTTTTTATTTTTTTCCATTTCAACACAGTGTAAAGAACAATTAAGAATATTGATGAATTTGCTCATTAACCTACCAGTAATTAGTGGAGTTAACTGTTGGTATTTGTTGTGTTTACTTAAAGTTGTGTAACCAACAAAATAATTGATCCACAAGAAGGTGGCTGCTTAAATAATTTGAAAAGAAATAGGTTTCAAAATTTGATATTGTTAATTGTAGGGTTAAGAAAGAGTGTGCTTTCATAGCATTAGTTCAAGAATAATGTTTTTTCACGTGTTATTCTACATAAAAACTAACAAAAGTGTCCCCAAGTTGTGCTTCTGAGCTATCCCTATTAAGGTATGCTCACAAGTAAACATAAGGTGTGAGAGGAAATAAGTTTTTGTATATTGTCTCCAAAAATGCAAAACAATTTTTTTTTTAAAAAGTTAACTAATGTAGTATTATTTTTGTTAGGTTTTATTAAAACCAGAATATTTTATTCCCAGCTATGGTGAAGTATGGAAGTTTACAGTATGAGTGGAACTGGGCTTGTAAAGCCAGTCTATATCTTGGAACCAAGCTGAACTCCCTAAGCACATTACTCAAAGTCGTCTTTTGCCACCCACCAACAGGAAGGACAGATAAAAACACAAGCTGTGTAAGGTGAGATTGAGTAGAGATAGCAAAATCAATAAATATTAATACTTCAGAATGTACGCATTTAGTAAGTTTGAAACATGTAGCTCTCCATGCGTGTTGGTCAGCTGTGTAGACTAACTTTATCTGACCATCTTGAAAACATTTCAAGAAGCAGAAAACAGCCACTGAAAGTTTTAGAATGATATGAAAATAAATAAATATTTATGTATTTGTGTTACTAGCATCTCCTGTTCATTTTTACTGACCAGGGCTGTAGAGTCATTAGATACCTTCTTTTCTGTCAATGCTCATTGTTCCTGACCGAAGCTGTAAAGTCATGAGGTACCATCTTTTGTGTCAATGCTCATTTTTCCTGACCAGAGCTGTAGAGTCATAAGGTACCTTCTTTTCTTTCAGTGCTCATTTTTCCTGACCAGAGCTGTAAAGTCATAAGATACCCTGTTTTCTGTCAATGCTCACATGTTCCTGACTAAAGCTGTAAAATCATAAGGTATCTTCTTTTATGTTAATGCTCATTGTTCCTGATCGAAGCTGTAAAGTCATGAGGTACTGTCTTTTGGGTCAGTACTCACTGTTCCTGACTGAAGCTGTAAAGTTATAAGGTACCTTCTTTTGGGTCAGTACTCACTGTTCCTGACTGAAGCTGTAAAGTTATAAGGTACCTTCTTTTGTTTCAATGCTCACTGTTCCTGACTGAAGCTGTAAAGTTATAAGGTACCTTCTTTTGTTTCAATGCTCACTGTTCCTGACTGAAGCTGTAAAGTCATAAGGTACCTTCTTTTGTGTCAGTGCTCATTATTCCTGACTGAAGTTGTAAAGTTATAAGTTACCTTCTTTTCTGTCAATGCTCACATGTTCCTGACCAGAGCTGTAAAATCATAAGATACCCTGTTTTATGTCAATGCTCACATGTTCCTGACCAGAGCTGTAAAATCATAAGATACCCTATTTTCTGTCGATGCTCACATGTTCCTGACCAAAGCTGTAAAATCATAAGATACCCTGTTTTATGTCAGTGCTCACATGTTTCTGACCAGAGCTGTAAAATCATAAGATACCCTGTTTTATGTCAGTGCTCACATGTTTCTGACCAGAGCTGTAAAATCATAAGATACCCTGTTTTATGTCAATGCTCACATGTTCCTGACCAGAGCTGTAAAATCACAAGATACCCTGTTTTATGTCAATTTATTTGAAACTTTTAAGGTAAAGCAATTATTGGGGGTGGGGTGAAAAAAATAGATGTAAATAGATACTTTGCTCACATGTTCCTGACCAGAGCTGTAAAATCACAAGATACCCTGTTTTATGTCAATTTATTTGAAACTTTTAAGATAAAGCAATTATTGGGGGTGGGGTGAAAAAAATATATGTAAATAGATACTTTTGGAAGCATTTGCCAAGAATATCCTTAATTAGGTGTAGAGAGAAAATTCTCTCATTTTTTCCATATATGTCTGAGTGGTATTGAGAAAAAGGGCTAAAAGATGTGATTGTGAAATTTAAATTTTGTAAATAAAATAAGTATATTAATTGATATTCAGTTTAAAAAAATATATATATATATATATGTATGTATATAATTCTAACTTTAGCACTTTAAAATGGCACAAAATTAATAGTTCCTGTAAGCCTACATTAATGTAAGAAAAACATTCAGTGCTTTAGAATTGCATGCCAACAAAAATATATTGAGGACATATATTCTACCAAACTTGTTTTCTACCAGATAAATACAAAATGATTGATTTTTGATTGAAAATTGTAAGAATGTTTTTCTAAGCAATACTGACTTCTCAGCTCTGGAATGTTTCTTCATGTTGTTATAATTCTTAAAGACAACATAAAGTTATCATAAAATGTTTCAGTTTTACTTTTAAAAGAATAATAAAGTAATTTCTTGTTTGATGATAAACATAAAGCTACACAGTGGGCTATCTGTGCTGTGCCCACAGTGGGGTGTTGAATCCTAACTTTTAGTATTATAAAGCATTAAAATTATAGACAAAAACATTAAGTTGATTTTTTTAATCTAATTGGTTAATAGGTTTCTTTTCACCGATCAAACCAAAGTGAGTGCATCTGCTGGTGATACATCTGTTGCCAACATTGTGTCATCATTGTTCTCAGCTATCGAGGATGAGTTTGGCTTTCTTACCACTAGACTGTACAGAGTTTTCAGGCCAAAACCAGGTACTAGGAAAATATCTATAATCGTTTCATAAATACGGTATAAATGAATGTAATTTGATCATTAACTGCTGTTCACATTTTAATGTATCTTTACTTATTTGTTTTAATAATGCTAATTAACAAGATGAATACAGAACACATCTCAACATATAACTTTTGTTCTCGAACTAAACATCTTGAAATATAATAGTTCAATAATTTACTAATGAAATTATGATAGTTATCTAATTATATTAATAAACTATTGCAATTAATTTATATATTTTGGTTCATGCATAATATTTAGTTTGTTACAATTGATGATAATCGGCTCTTTTTAAAGTATCTTCTCAGACCTGGAAGTGGAGGCGATTATGCTGTATTCCATACTTTGTCATTTTTCTTGCCATTTTGGGTTGTATTGTGGCAGCAGTAATATTACTCATAACGACCGAGGTTAATGGAGAAGTGGAACCTGAAATGGATGAGATGGACGAAAACGTAGATGAGCTGGATGATGACATTACCAAAACTAGTTATGTACCTAAACTGTACATGGGCAGCAAACCGATAATAATTGCTCTTGCTTGCGTGGTGGGATTAGCAATCATATCTAACCTTCAGATGCTTGTACGATTGGTCATCTCATTATTTGTATCCCACCAGCGGAGAATTCACCATAACCTGCACCGTGGGAGTGGTGATAACAATGAAGGTCGATTAAGTATACTTAAATCTGAAGTGGAAACAATGACTACTTTAGTAAGTATTAATATATTTCCCTTAGTAAGTATTAATATATTTCCCTTAGTAAGTATTTATATATTTCCTTTAGTAAGTATTAATATATTTTCTATAGTAAGTATTAATATATTTCCCTTAGTAAGTATTTATATATTTCCTTTAGTAAGTATTAATATATTTTCTATAGTAAGTATTAATATATTTTCTATAGTAAGTATTTATATATTTCATTTAGTAAGTATGAATATATTTTCTTTAGTAAGTATTAATACATTTTCTTTAGTAAGTATTAATACATTTTCTTTAGTAAGTATTAATATATTTCTTTTAGTAAATATTTATGTATTTCCTTTAGTAAGTATTTATATATTTCCTTTAGTAAGTATTTATATATTTCCTTTAGTAAGTATTTATATATTTCCTTTAGTAAATATTAATATATTTCCTTTAGTAAGTATTAATACATTTCCTTTAATAAGTATTAATGTATTTCCTTTAGTAAGTATTTATATATTTTCTTTAGTAAGTATTAACACATTTCCTTTAGTAAGTATTAATACATTTCCTTTAGTAAGTATTAATGTATTTCCTTTAGTAAGTATTAATGTATTTTCTTTAGTAAGTATTTATATATTTTCTTTAGTAAGTATTAACACATTTCCCTTAGTAAATATGAATATATTTCCTTTAGTAAGTATGAATGTATTTCCTTTAGTAAGTATTATTGTATTTTCTTTAGTAAGTATTAACACATTTCCTTTAGTAAGTATTAATGTATTTTCTTTAGTAAGTAATTATATATTTTCTTTAGTAAGTATTAATGTATTTCCTTTAGTAAGTAT